GGGATCAATGGGATCAATGGGATTGGGATCAAGGGAATGGGAATGGCAGCAGTGGGATGAGGGATGAGGGTGAAGAATGGTGGGATGGGGATGAGGGGGAGGATGAGGAGCAGTGGGATGAGGGATGAGGGATGAGGGTGAGGGGGAGAATGAGGAGCAGTGGGATGAGGGATGAGGGTGAGGAAGAGGAATGGTGGGATGGGGATGGGGATGAGGATGAGGAAGGGGAAGAAGCCCCCCCGACTCACATGAGGTCCCAGGGGATGGGATGGGGATGAAGATGAGGCAGTTGGGATGAAGATGAGGAAGGGGATGAAGCCCCCAGACTCACATGAGGTCCCAGGGGGTGGGATGAGGATGAGGATGGTGGGATGAGGATGAGGATGAAGATGAGGAAGGGGATGAAGCCCCCCAGACTCACATGAGGTCCCAAGGGGTGGGATGAGGATGACAATGGTGGGATGAGGATGAGGATGGGGGGATGAGGATGAGGATGGGGGGATGAGGATGGGGATGGGGATGAGGATGGGGATGGGGATGAGAATGGGGATGACAATGGTGGGATGGGGATGAGGATGGTGGGATGAGGATGAAGATGAGGATGAAGATGAGGATGAGGACTCACATGAGTTCCCAGGGGGTGGGATGAGGATGACAATGGTGGGATGGGGATGAGGATGGGGATGACAATGGTGGGATGGGGATGAGGATGGTGGGATGAGGATGGGGATGAAGATGAGGATGAAGCCCCCCCAGACTCACATGAGGCCCAGGGGTTGGGATGGGGATGGTGGGAGGGGATGAGGATGGGGATGAGGATGAGGATGAAGATGAGGATGGGGATGAAGCCCCCCCAGACTCACATGAGGTCCCAGGGGTTGGGATGGGGATGGTGGGATGGGGATGAGGATGGTGGGATGAGGATAAAGATGAGGATGAGGAAGGGGATGAAGCCCCCGACTCACATGAGGTCCCAGGGGGTGGGATGAGGATGAAGATGAGGATGAGGATAATGAAGCCCCCAGACTCACATGAGGTCCCAGGGGGTGGGGTGGGGATGAGGATGGTGGGATGAGGATGAGGATGAAGATGAGGATGAGGATGAGGAAGCCCCCAGACTCACATGAGGTCCCAGGGGGTCCCGGTCTCCTCCAGCTCCTCCATGAGCTCCGTGAGGCGGCGCCGGAAGAAGATCTCGAACCTCAGATCGTCCTCGAACACCAGGGCCTTGCTCAGGCCCCTCTCTGAGATCTGGGGAAGATCCCAAACCCCTCAGTCCCTCACTGAGCTCAGATTCCCTGCCCTGCATTCCCCAGGACCCCCAGGACCCCCATGACCCCAGAACCCCCAGCCCCACACTGAGCTCAGATCCCTGCCCTGCATTCCCAGGACCCCCATGACCCCCAGAACCCCCAGCCCCACACTGAGCTCCAGATCCCTGCCCTGCATTCCCCAGGACCCCCATGACCCCCAGAACCCCCAGCCCCACACTGAGCTCAGATCCCCCTGCCCTGCATTCCCCAGGACCCCCAGAACCCCCCAGCCCCACACTCAGCTCAGATCCCCTGCCCTGCATTCCCTGGGACCCCCAGAACCCCCAGCCCCACACTGAGCTCAGATCCCCTGCCCTGCATTCCTGAGACCCCTCAGGATCCCCCATGACCCCAGAACACCCCCAGCCCCTCACTGAGCTCAGATTCCCTGCCCTGCATTCCCCAGGACCCCAGAACCCCCAGGACCCCCCAAGCCCCCAGCCCCGCACTCAGCCCAGATCCCCCTGCCCTGCATTCCCTGGGACCCCTCAGAACCCCCCCAGGCCCCCAAACCCCCCAGCCCCGCACTCAGCTCAGATTCCCTGTCCTGCATTCCTAGGACCCCCAGGACCCCCAGAACACCCCTGGACCCTCAGAACACCCCAGGACCCCCAAAATCCCCTGCCTCCTTCCAGACGTGGAAGTGGCTGAGGAAGCAGCTCAGCTCCCCCTGCCTGACCCCTCAATTCCCTGGAGTTCCCTGGAGCCCCTGAGTCCCAGACCTCCCCAAGCCCCCAGACGCCCCCAGGGACCCCCAGAGTCCCCCAGGACCCCCAACACCCCAGGGACCCCAAAATTCCCTGGTACCTCCTTCCAGACTCGGAAGTGGCTGAGGAAGCAGCTCAGCTCCCCCTGCCTGACCCCCTCAATTCCCTGGATCCCAATTCCCTGGAACCCCCTGAGTCCCAGACCCCCAAGCCCCCAGACACCCCCAGGGACCCTCAGGTCCCCCAGGACTCCCAAACCCCCAGGGACCCCCAAAATTCCCTGGTACCTCCTTCCAGACTCGGAAGTGGCTGAGGAAGCAGCTCAGCTCCTCCAATCCCCTGGATCCCAATTCCCTGGATCCCAATCCCCTGGAGCTCCCCGGAGCCCTCCTGAGTCCCAAACCCCCGGGAGACCCCAGGACCCCAAAATCCCCCTGTACCTCCTTCCAGACCCGGAAGTGGCTGAGGAAGCAGTCCAGCTCCTCTGATCCCCTGGATCCCCCCAGATCCCCCTGGAGTCCCAGAGCCCCTGGAGTGCCCCCAGAGTCCCAAACCCCCAGGACCCCCCAAAATCCCCCAGGACGCCCCAGAATTCCCCGGTACCTCCTTCCAGACCCGGAAGTGGCTGAGGAAGCAGCTCAGCTCCCCTGCCTGACCCCCTCAATTCCCTGGATCCCCCAGATTCCCATGGAACCCCTGAGTTCCCAAAACCCCCCCAGGACCCTCAGAACACCCCCAGGGACCCCCAAAATCCCCCGGTACCTCCTTCCAGACTTGGAAGTGGCTGAGGAAGCAGCTCAGCTCCTCCAATCCCCTGGATCCCAATTCCCTGGATCCCAATTCCCTGGATCCCAATTCCCTGGAGCTCCCCGGAGCCCTCCTGAGTCCCAGACACCCCCAGGGATCCCCAAATCCCCCAGGACCCCCAAAATTCCCTGGTACCTCCTTCCAGACCCGGAAGTGGCTGAGGAAGCAGCTCAGCTCCTTCAATCCCCTGGATCCCAATTCCCTGGATCCCAATTCCCTGGAGCTCCCCAGAGCCCCCCTGATTCCCAGACCCCTCCAGGACCCCCAGAACCCCCCAGGGACCCCCAAAATCCCCGGTACCTCCTTCCAGACTCGGAAGTGGCTGAGGAAGCAGCTCAGCTCCTCCATCCCTGACCCCCTCAATTCCCTGGATCCCAATTCCCTGGATCCCAGTTCCCTGGAGTTCCCCAGAGCCCCCTGATTCCCAAACCCCCCCAGGACCCTCAGAACACCCCCAGGACCCCCAAAATCCCCCGGTACCTCCTTCCAGACCCGGAAGTGGCTGAGGAAGCAGCCCACCTCCCCTTCCTGGCCCCCTGACCGGGTCCCATCCCTGGATCAAGGTCCCGGATACCCCGGCAGCCTATCCGCACCCCAGCGCCTCCACCTCAGGCCCCAATGTTCAGGACCCCCTTCTAATATAAAGTGGCTGAGAAAGCTCATCTAATAAATTAAAATCTCATTTAGGAGTTTCGACCCATCATCCGCACCCCCAGCGCCTCCACCTCGCTGCTGTTCAGGGCCCTTTTTAATATAAAATTAAAATCATCTAATCAATTAAAAATATTTAGGATTTCTCCATCTCCGCACCCCCACCTCGCTGCTGTTCAGGGCCCTTTTATGATAAATTTAAATTAAATAAATTAAAAATATTTAGGATTTCTCCATCTCCGCACCCCCACCTCGCTGCTGTTCAGGGCCCTTTTATGATAAATTGAAATTAAATAAATTAAAAATATTCAGGATTTCACCATCTCCACACCCCCAGCGCCTCCACCTCGCTGCTGTTCAGGGCCCTTTTAATGACAAATTTAAATTAAATAAATTAAAAATATTCAGGATTTCTGCATCTTTGCACCTCCACCTCGCTGCTGTTCAGGGCCCTTTTTATGACAAATTTAAATTAAATAAATTAAAAATATTTAGGATTTCTGCATCTCCGCACCCCCAGTGCCTCCACCTCGCTGCTGTTCAGGGCCCTTTTTAATAATAAATTAAAATCTAATCAATTAAAAATATTTAGGATTTCACCATCTCCGCATTCCCACCTCGCTGCTGTTCAGGGCCCTTTTTAATATAAAATTAAAATCTAATAAATTAAAAATATTTAGGATTTTTCCATCTCTGCATTCCCACCTCGCTGCTGTTCAGGGCCCTTTTAATGACAAATTTAAATCTAATAAATTAAAAATATTTAGGATTTCTCCATCTCCACACCCCCACCTCGCTGCTGTTCAGGGCCCTTTTTAATAACAAATTAAAATTTAATCAATTAAAAATATTTAGGATTTCTCCATGTCTGCATTCCCACCTCGCTGCTGTTCAGGGCCCTTTTTAATAACAAATTACAATTTAATCAATTAAAAATATTTAGGATTTCTCCATCTCTGTTAACTGCACTCAGCTCAGGGGGTTTGACAGATTTTTTAGGTTTGTTTTGGGACTGAAGTCACAAGGAAGGGATCTGTTCAACCTCACACCTTTGAGACTGCCAAATTTTAATTAAAATATTTATAGAATACAAGTAGAGAAGATCAGCAGTGACCCTGAGGTGAATGGGATAATAAATAGGTGTAAATTAGACAAAATATTGATAAAATAAAGTGCAGAAGATCAGCAGTGACCCTGAGGTGAATGGGACAATAAATAGGTGTAAATTAGACAAAATATTGATAAAATAAAGTAGACAAGATCAGCAGTGACCCTGAGGTGAATGGGACAATAAATAGGTGTAAATTAAACAAAATATTGATAAAATAAAGTGGAGAAGATCAGCAGTGACCCTGAGGTGAATGGGACTGGTCCTGATAATAAATAGGTGTAAATTAAACAAAATATTGATAAAATAAAGTGGAGAAGATCAGCAGTGACCCTGAGGTGAATGGGATAATAAATAGGTGTAAATTAAAACAAAATATTGATAAAATAAAGTGGAGAAGATCAGCAGTGACCCTGAGGTGAATGGGACCAGCCCTGAGAATAAAAAGGGATAAATTACATTATTTGGCTTCTTCCTCACATTCACTGCTTTAAAATTCCTGGTTTTTTTTTAATGTTTGGGTTTTTTTCCTGGTGAAGCTTCCAGAGGGGGATCCCTCGGGGGAGAAAAAAAAGGGGGAAAGGAAATTCCCCCTCCCCAAAAAAAAAAACACTCACTGCCCGTCCACGGCCTCCACCAGCCGGCAGGAGATCCCCAATTCCTGCAGCGTCCGCAGCATCCGCGCCCGCCGGTCCGAGCGGCGCCGCAGGTTGATCAGGAACACCTGGGGATGGGATTGGGAAATCAGGAACACCTGGGAATGGGGATGGGATGGGGATGGGGATGGGATTGGGATGAGATCCCCAATTCCTGCAGCGTCCGCAGCATCCACGCCCGCCGGTCCGAGCGGCGCCACAGGTTGATCAGGAACACCTGGGGATGGGATTGGGAAATCAGGAACACCTGGGAATGGGATTGGGGATGGGAATGGGAATGGGATGGGAATGGGAAATGGGGATGGGATGGGGATGGGGATGGGATTGGGATGAGATCCCCAATTCCTGCAGCGTCCGCAGCATCCGCGCCCGCCGGTCCGAGCGGCGCCGCAGGTTGATCAGGAACACCTGGGGATGGGATTGGGAAATCAGGAACACCTGGGAATGGGATTGGGAAATCAGGAACACCTGGGAATGGGAATGGGATGGGAATGGGAATGGGATTGGGGATGGGAATGGGATCCCCAATTCCTGCAGCGTCCGCAGGCATCGGCCCGCGGATCGGAGCGGCGCGCATGGGTGATCAGGAACACCTGGGAATGGGATTGGGAATGGGAAATCAGGAACACCTGGGGATGGGATGGGAATGGGAATGGGGATGGGAATGGGAAATCAGGAACACCTGGGAATGGATGGGAATGGGAATGGGAATGGGAATGGGGATGGGATGGGAATGGGAATGGGAAATCAGGAACACCTGGGGATGGGATTGGGAATGGGAATGGGGATGGGGATGGGGATGTGATGGGAATGGGAATGGGGGTGGGATTGGGATTGGGGATGGGAATGGGATCCCCAATTCCTGCAGCGTCCGCAGCATCCGCGCCCGCCGGTCCGAGCGGCGCCGCAGGTTGATCAGGAACACCTGGGGATGGGATTGGGATGGGATGGGATGGGAATGGGATGGGAATGGGATGGGGATGGGAATGGGAATGGGGATGGGAATGGGAAATGGGGATGGGATGGGAAAGGGATGGGAATGGGATCCCCAATTCCCGCAGCGTCCGCAGCATCCGCGCCCGCCGGTCCGAGCGGCGCCGCAGGTTGATCAGGAACACCTGGGGATGGGATTGGGAAATCAGGAACACCTGGGGATGGGAATGGGAAATCAGGAACACCTGGGAATGGGATTGGGATGGGAATGGGAATGGGGATGGGAATGGGAAAGGGATGGGGATGGGAATGGGATCCCCAATTCCTGCAGCGTCCACGAGCATCCGGCCCGCCTGGGCCGACGCGCCGCGGGTTGATCAGGAACACCTGGGAATGGGATTGGGAATGGGATGGGAATGGGAATCGCTGGATGATCAGGAACACCTGGGAATGGGAAAGGGATGGGAATGGGATCCCCAATTCCTGCAGCTCCCGCAGCATCCGCGCCCGCCGGTCCGAGCGGCGCCGCAGGTTGATCAGGAACACCTGGGAATGGGATTGGGAAATCAGGAACACCTGGGGATGGGATTGGGAATGGGATGGGAATGGGGATGGGAAATCAGGAACACCTGGGGATGGGATTGGGAATGGGGAATGGGATGGGAATGGGGAATAGGACCCCCAACTCCCGCAGCATCTGCAGCATCTGCGCCGCAGGTTGATCAGGAACACCTCGGGATGGATGGGAATGGGATGGGAATGGGGATGGGAATGGGGATGGGAATGGGGATGGAAATCAGCACTGCAGATTGATCAGGAACACCTGGGGATGGGGATGGGAATGGGATGGGAATGGGAATGGGAATTGAATGGGGAATAGGGATGAGAAATGGGGATAGGGATGGGAATGGGGAATGGGGAATGGGAATGGGGATGGGAATGGGGATGGGAATGGGGATGGGAATGGGGATGGGAATGGGGATGGGGATGGGGATGGGGATGGGGATGGGAATGGGGATGGGGATGGGGATGGGGATGGGGATGGGGATGGGAATGGGGATGGGAATGGGGATGGGAATGGGGATGGGAATGGGGAATGGGAATGGGGGGGAATATCCAACCTGATCCCGGTGGGAAGGACGGAATTAAACCCAAAGCCACAATGGGGGGGATAATCCAGCCAAAATAGGGAGGGGAGAGGGATAATCCACAGAGAATGCAAAGGGAAACAGGATAATCCACAGGGAATGTGGAGGGGAGAGGGATAATCCACCCAAAATCCAGAGGGGAACAGGATAATCCACCCAAAATATGAAGGGGAACAGGATAATCCACCCAAAATCCAATGGGAAACAGGATAATCCACAGGGAATGTGGAAGGGAGTGGGATAAACCACTCAAAATCCAGAGAGGAACAGGATAATCCACAGGGAATGCAAAGGGGAGTGGGATAATCCACCCAAAATCCAGAGGGGAGAGGGGGGAAGATCAAGCAATCCAGAGGAAAAGTGGGAAAACAACCCAAAATTCAAAAGGAAAGTGGGAAAACCACCCAAAATCCAGAGGAAAAGGGGGAAAAGCACCCCAAATCCCAAAGGGAAGGGAGATCCCATCCCAAAATCCAGAGGAAAAGGGGGAAAACAACCCCAAATCCCAAAGGGAATGAGAAAAACAGTTGGAATCCAGAAAAGAAGGAGGAAAAACGACCCCAAATCCCAAAGGGAAGGGGGATCCCATCCCAAAATCCAGAGGAAAAGGGGGCAAATAACCCCAAATCCCAAAGGGAACGAGAAAAACCACCCGGAATCTGGAAGGGAAGGGGGGAAACGACCCCAAATCCCAAAGGGAAGAGGGATCCCATCCCAAAATCCAGAGGAAAAGGGGGAAAATGACCCCAAATCCCAAAGGGAAGGGAGATCTCATCCCAGAATCCAGAGGAAAAGGGGGCAAACAACCCCAAATCTGGAAGGGAATGAGAAAAAACACCCGGAATCCAGAAAAGAAGGAGGAAAAACAACCCCAAATCCCAAAGGGAAGGGAGATCCCATCCCGAAATCCCGGAATCCCGAGGGAAGGCCGCTCTCACCTCGTCAAAGCCCAGCTTGTCGAGGACCTTGGGGGGCACCCACACATGGGGGGAGGGCTCGGCCGGGGGGAACTTCACTGGGAACGGGAAAATCCCACGGGAATCACCCCAATCCCAGATATTCCATGGGAATCACCCCCATCCCAGATATCCCATGGGAATCACCCCCATTCCCAGATATCCCACGGGAATCACCCCCAATCCCAGATATTCCATGGGAATCACCCCCATTCCCAATCTCGGATATCCCATGGGAATCACCCCCAATCCCAGATATCCCACTGGGAATCACCCCCAATCCCAGATATCCCACTGGGAATCACTCCCATTCCCAATCCCAGATATCCCACGGGAATCACCCCCAATCCCCATCCCAGATATCCCAGATATCCCACAGGAATCACCCCCATTCCCAATCCCAGATATCCCACGGGAATCACCCCCATCCCAGATATCCCACGGGAATCACCCCCATTCCCCATCCCAGATATCCCACAGGAATCACCCCCATTCCCAATCCCAAATATCCCATGGGAATCACCCCCAATCCCAGATATCCCATGGGAATCACCTCCATTCCCAATCCCAGATATCCCACAGGAATCACCCCCAATCCCAGATATCCCATGGGAATCACCCCCAATCCCAGATATCCCACGGGAATCACCCCCAATCCCAGATATCCCACAGGAATCATCCCCACTTCCAATCCCAGATATCCCATGGGAACCACCCCCATTCCCCATCCCAAATATCCCATGGGAATCACCCCCATTCCCCATCCCAGATATCCCAAATATCCCACTGGGAATCAACTCCTGAGCCTGGATGGGACATTCCCAATCCCAGATTCCCAGTGGGATCCCTCACCCCCTGAGCCTGGATGGGACATTCCCAACCCCACATTCCCAGTGGGATCCCTCACCCCCAGGGCCATGGAGGGACATTCCCAACCCCAGATCCCAGAGGGATCCCTCACCCCCTGAGCCTGGATGGGACATTCCCAACCCCAGATTCCCAGATCCCAGTGGGATCCCTCACCCCCTGGGAATGGAGGGACATTCCCAACCCCAGACTCCCTGATCCCAGAGGGATCCCTCACCCCTGGGGCTGGAGGGGACATTCCCAACCCCAAATTCCCTGATCCCAGAGTGATCCCTCACCCCCTGGGGCTGGAGGGGACATTCCCAATCCCAGATTCCTGTTGGGATCCCTCACCCCCTGAGCCTGGATGGGACATTCCCAATCCCGGATTCCCAGAGGGATCCCTCACCCCCTGGGCTGGAGGGGACATTCCCAACTCCAGATTCCCGTTGGGATCCCTCACTCCCTGGGGCTGGATGGGACATTCCCAATCCCAGATTCCTGGATCCCAGTGGGATCCCTCACCCCCAGGGCCATGGAGGGACATTCCCAACCCCAGATTCCCAGAGGGATCTCTCACCCCCTGGGGCTGGAGGGGACATTCCCAACCCCAGATTCCCGGATCCCCAGTGGGATCCCTCACCCCCAGGGTCATGGAGGGACATTCCCAACCCCAGATTCCCGGATCCCAGTGGGATCCCTCACCCCCTGGGGTTGGATGGGACATTCCCAACCCCAGATTCCCTGATCCCAGAGGGATCCCTCACCCCCTGGGGTTGGATGGCACATTCCCAACCCCAGATTCCCAGATTCCCAGTGGGATCCCTCACCCCCTGGGCCATGGAGGGACATTCCCAACCCCAAATACCCTGATCCCAGAGGGATCCCTCACCCCCAGGGCCATGGAGGGGCATTCCCAACCCCAGATTCCCAGATTCCCTGATCCCTCACCCCCTGGGGTTGGATGGCACATTCCCAACCCCAGATTCCCAGATTCCCTGATCCCAGAGGGATCCCTCACCCATGATCTCCAGCTGGACGTGCAGGAAGTTCTCGGCCTCATCCCGCAGGGAGCTCTGGGAGCGCAGCGGGACCGGCAGGAACCCGAACACCTCCCGGTTACTGACGAACATCTGCACCCCTGGAATGGGATTGGGAATGAGGGTCAGGAACCCCAAATAAACCCCCATAAACACCTCCCGGTTACTGACGAACATCTGCACCCCTGGAACGGGAATGGGGTTGGGAATGGGATTGGGAATGGGATTGGGAACTCAAATAAACCCCTACAAACACCTCCCGGTTACTGACGAACATCTGCACCCCTGGAATGGGAATGGGATTGGGAATGGGATTGGGAACTCAGATAAACCCCAACAAACACCTCCCGGTTACTGACGAACATCTGCACCCCTGGAATGGGATTGGGATCAGGAATGGGATTGGGAACTCAGATAAACCCCCACAAACACCTCCCGGTCACTGACGAACATCTGCACCCCTGGAACGGGAATGGGATTGGGAATGGGGTTGGGAATGGGATTGGGAACCCAACAAACACCTCCCGGTTACTGACGAACATCTGCACCCCTGGAACGGGAATGGGGTTGGGAATGGGATTGGGAATGGGATTGGGAACTCAGATAAACCCCAACAAACACCTCCCGGTTACTGACGAACATCTGCACCCCTGGAACGGGAATGGGATTGGGAATGGGATTGGGAATGAGGGTCAGGAACCCAACAAACACCTCCCGGTTACTGACGAACATCTGCACCCCTGGAATGGGATTGGGATCAGGAATGAGGGTCAGGAACCCCAAATAAACCCCAACAAACACCTCCCGGTTACTGACGAACATCTGCACCCCTGGAATGGGATTGGGATTGGGAATGGGATTGGGAATGGGATTGGGAACCCAACAAACACCTCCCAGTTACTGACGAACATCTGCACCCCTGGAACGGGATTGGGATTGGGAATGGGATTGGGAATGGGGTTAGGAATGAGGGTCAGGAACCCAACAAACACCTCCCAGTTACTGACCAACATCTGCACCCCTGGAATGGGAATGGGGTTGGGAATGAGGGTCAGGAACCCCAAATAAACCCCCACAAACACCTCCCAGTTACTGACGAACATCTGCACCCCTGGAACGGGATTGGGAATGGGAATGGGATTGGGAATGGGATTGGGAGCCCAACAAACACCTCCCGGTTACTGACGAACATCTGCACCCCTGGAATGGGATTGGGAATGGGATTGGGATTGGGAATGGGGTTGGGAATGGGATTGGGAACCCAACAAACACCTCCCGGTTACTGATGAACATCTGCACCCCTGGAATGGGATTGGGATTGGGAATGGGATTGGGAATGGGGTTGGGAACCCAACAAACACCTCCCAGTTACTGACGAACATCTGCACCCCTGGAACGGGATTGGGATCAGGAATGAGGGTCAGGAACCCCAAATAAACCCCCACAAACACCTCCCGGTCACTGACGAACATCTGCACCCCTGGAATGGGAATGGGGTTGGGAATGGGGTTGGGAATGAGGGTCAGGAACCCAACAAACACCTCCCGGTTACTGACGAACATCTGCACCCCTGGAACGGGATTGGGATTGGGAATGGGATCAGGAATGGGATTGGGAACTCAGATAAACCCCAACAAACACCTCCCAGTTACTGACGAACATCTGCACCCCTGGAATGGGATTGGGATTGGGAATGGGACTGGGAATGGGGTTAGGAATGGGATTGGGAACCCAACAAACACCTCCCAGTTACTGACGAACATCTGCACCCCTGGAATGGGATTGGGATTGGGAATGAGGTTGGGAACTCAGATAAACCCCCACAAACACCTCCCGGTTACTGACGAACATCTGCACCCCTGGAATGGGATTGGGAATGGGAATGGGATTGGGAACCCAAATAAACCCCAACAGACACCTCCCGGTTACTGACGAACATCTGCACCTCTGGATTGGGATTGGGAATGGGATTGGGATTGGGAACCCAAATAAACCCCAACAAACACCTCCCGGTTACTGACGAACATCTGCACCCCTGGAATGGGATTGGGATTGGGAATGGGATTGGGAATGGGATTGGGAACCCAACAAACACCTCCCAGTTACTGACGAACATCTGCACCCCTGGAACGGGATTGGGATTGGGAATGGGATTGGGAACCCAGATAAACCCCCACAAACACCTCCCGGTTACTGACGAACATCTGCACCCCTGGAATGGGATTGGGATTGGGAATGGGATTGGGAATGGGAACCCAAATAAACCCCCACAAACACCTCCCGGTTACTGACGAACATCTGCACCCCTGGAACGGGATTGGGATCAGGAATGGGGTTGGGAATGGGATTGGGAACTCAGATAAACCCCTACAGACACCTCCCGGTTACTGACGAACATCTGCACCCCTGGAACGGGATTGGGATTGGGAATGGGGTTGGGAACCCAAATAAACCCCCACAAACACCTCCCGGTTACTGACGAACATCTGCACCCCTGGAACGGGAATGGGGTTGGGAATGGGGTTGGGAATGGGATTGGGAACCCAACAAACACCTCCCGGTTACTGACGAACATCTGCACCCCTGGAATGGGGTTGGGAATGGGGTTGGGAACTCAGATAAACCCCTACAGACACCTCCCGGTTACTGACGAACATCTGCACCCCTGGAATGGGATTGGGATCAGGAATGAGGGTCAGGAACCCCAAATAAACCCCAACAAACACCTCCCGGTTACTGACGAACATCTGCACCCCTGGAACGGGATTGGGATCAGGAATGGGATTGGGAATGGGGTTGGGAATGGGGTTGGGAATGGGATTGGGAACCCAACAAACACCTCCCGGTTACTGACCAACATCTGCACCCCTGGATTGGGAATGGGATTGGGAATGGGATTGGGAATGGGATTGGGAATGGGATTGGGATTGAGGGTCAGGAGCCCAACAAACACCTCCCGGTTACTGACGAACATCTGCACCCCTGGAACGGGATTGGGAATGGGAATGGGATTGGGAATGGGATTGGGAATGGGGTTGGGAATGGGAATGGGTTCGGGAACCTCCCGGTTACTGATGAAGATCTGCACCCCAAACCCCCCAAACCCACCCCAATCCCCTCTAACACTCCCAATCCCCTCCAAATCCCCCAAACCCCCCAAACCCCCAGACCCCCATTCTCCCCCGGCGCACCGCGGCGCGGCAGGCGCAGGGCGAACACGATGATGTCGTCGAAGGCGCCGCCGTAGCCGAGGGGGTGAGGCGAGACTTCGAGCGCTGCCGGGCGCAGGTCGAGCAGCACCGTGGAGTGAACCATCGGCACCGCGAAGCACCCGCGCCGCTCCCGCCGCCGCAGCGGCAGGTACGACGGGGCACGGCGGTAATAGCCCTGGGAATGTGGGAATGACACCAGGAATGACATCCTGGAATGGCACATGCAAGCACCAGCGCCGCTCCCGCCGCCGCACCGGCAGGTACGAGGGCGTGCGCCGGTAATAGCCCTGGGAATGCCAGGATACAGGGAATTATACTGGGAATGGCACCGCGAAGCACCCGCGCCGCTCCCGCCGACGCACCGGCAGGTACGAGGGGGTACGGCGGTAATAGCCCTGGGAACAACGGGATAACACCGGGAATGACACCGGGAATGGCACCGGGAATGGCACCAGGAATGGCACCGCAAGGCACTCGCGCCGCTCCCGCCGCCGCACCGGCAGGTACGAGGCGTGCGCCGGTAATAGCCCTGGGAATGTGGGAATGACACCAGGAATGACACCGGGAATGGCACCGCGAAGCACCCGCGCCGCTCCCGCCGCCGCACCGGCAGGTACGAGGGCGTGCGGCGGTAATAGCCCTGGGAATTCAGGGATAATGGGAATTACACCGGGAATGGCACCGGGAATGGCACCGCGAATGCACCGCAAGCAGCCGCTCCCGCCGACGCACCGGCAGGTACAAGGGCGTGCGCCGGTAATAGCCCTGGGAATGTGGGAATGACACCGGGAATGGCACCGGGAATGGGGCAGGTACGAGGGCGTGCGCCGGTAATAGCCCTGGGAACAACGGGGTACAGGGAATTATACTGGGATAACACCGGGAATGGCACCGGGAATGGCACCGCGAAGCACCCGCGCCGCTCCCGCCGCCGCAAAGGCAGGTTCGAGGGCGTGCGCTGGTAATAGCCCTGGGAATGTGGGAATTATACCAGGAATTACACCAGGAATGGGGCAGGTACGACGGGGTGCGCCGGTAATAGCCCTGGGAACAACGGGATAATGGGAATTGTACTGGGAATTACAGCGGGATAACACCGGGAATGGCACCGCGAAGCACCCGCGCCGCTCCCGCCGCCGCACCGGCAGGTACGAGGGCGTGCGCCGGTAATAGCCCTGGGAATGTGGGAATTATACTGGGAATGGCACCGGGAATGGCACCGGGAAGCACCCGCACTGCTCCCGCCGACGCACCGGCAGGTACGAGGGGGTGCGCCGGTAATAGCCCTGGGAATGTGGGAATTACACCAGGAATTACACCGGGAATGGCACCGGGAAGCACCCGCACTGCTCCCGCCGACGCACCGGCAGGTACGAGGGCGTGCGCCGGTAATAGCCCTGGGAACAACGGGATAACACCGGGAATTACACCGGGAATGGGGCAGGTACGACGGGGTGCGCCGGTAATAGCCCTGGGAATGGAGGGATAATGGGAATTGTACTGGGATAACACCGGGAATGGCACCGGGAATGGGGCAGGTACGACGGGGTGCGCCGGTAATAGCCCTGGGAATGGAGGGATAATGGGAATTGTACTGGGATAACACCGGGAATGGCACCGGGAATGGGGCAGGTACGAGGGGGTGCGCCGGTAATAGCCCTGGGAATGGAGGGATAATGGGAATTGTACTGGGATAACACCGGGAATGGCACCGGGAATGGGGCAGGTACGAGGGGGTGCGCCGGTAATAGCCCTGGGAATGTGTGAATTATACCAGGAATTACACCGGGAATGGCACGGGGAATGGCGCAGGTACGAGGGCGTGCGCCGGTAATAGCCCTGGGAACAACGGGGTACAGGGAATTATACTGGGATAACACCGGGAATGGCACCGGGAATGGCACCGCGAAGCACCCGCGCCGCTCCCGCCGCCGCAAAGGCAGGTACGAGGGGGTGCGCCGGTAATAGCCCTGGGAATGTGGGAATTATACCAGGAATTACACCAGGAATGGGGCAGGTACGACGGGGTGCGCCGGTAATAGCCCTGGGAATGGAGGGATAATGGGAATTGTACTGGGATAACACCGGGAATGGCACCGGGAATGGGGCAGGTATGAGGGGGTGCGCCGGTAATAGCCCTGGGAATGTGGGAATTATACCAGGAATTACACCAGGAATGGGGCAGGTACACGGTGCGCCGGTAATAGCCCTGGGAATGGAGGGATAATGGGAATTGTACTGGGATAACACCGGGAATGGCACCGGGAATGGGGCAGGTATGAGGGGGTGCGCCGGTAATAGCCCTGGGAATGTGGGAATGACACCGGGAATTACACCGGGAATGGCACCGGGAATGGCACCGCGAAGCACCCGCGCCGCTCCCGCCGACGCACCGGCAGGTACGAGGGCGTGCGCCGGTAATAGCCCTGGGAATGTGGGAATTACACCGGGAATTACAGTGGGAATGGGGCAGGTACGAGGGGGTGCGCCGGTAATAGCCCTGGTAACAACGGGATAACGGGAATTGTACTGGGAATGGCACCGGGAATGGCACCGGGAATGGGGCAGGTACGAGGGCGTGCGCCGGTAATAGCCCTGGGAATGGAGGGATAATGGGAATTGTACTGGGAATGGCACCGGGAATGGCACCGGGAATGGGGCAGGTACGAGGGGGTGCGCCGGTAATAGCCCTGGGAATGGAGGGATAATGGGAATTGTACTGGGAATGGCACCGGGAATGGTGACCGGGAATGGGGCAGGTGCCGAGGCGTGCGCTGGTAATAGCCCTGGGAATGGAGGATAATGGGAATTGTACTGGGAATGGCACCGGAATGCACCGGAATGGGGCAGGTACGACAGGGTGCGCCGGTAATAGCCCTGGGAACAACGGGATACCGGGAATTGTACTGGGAATGGCACCGGGAATGGCACCGGGAATGGGGCAGGTACGAGGGCGTGCGCCGGTAATAGCCCTGGGAACAACGGGATACAGGGAATTGTACTGGGAATGGCACCGGGAATGGCACCGGGAATGGGGCAGGTACGAGGGCGTGCGCCGGTAATAGCCCTGGGAATGGGGGAATGACACTGGGAATGACACCGGGATAACACTGGGAATGGCACCGGGAATGGGGCAGGTATGTGGGGGTGTGCCGGTAATAGCCCTGGGAACAACAGGATAACGGGAATTGTACTGGGAATGGCACCGGGAAGAGGGAATGACACCGAATCCCTCCCTTCCCTGGGGGGTCCCAAACCTCCCCTGGGGGGTCCCAAACCTCACCTGGGGGATCCCAAACCTCACCTGGGGGGTCCCAAATCTCACCTGGGGTTCCCAAACCTCACCTGGGTGGTCCCAAACCTCCCC